CTGCCTGCGTCTGCTTCTTCGTCGCGCATCTTTCGCATCCTCATTGCAATTATTATATTTTTTTTTTTTGGCATGTTCCAGTTTTTGCAGCCTTGCTTTTTCAGGGTCACACTCAGTACTCCGAGTCGTCCCCCCGGGTCCGCCTTCTGTTGCTCGCTCGTGCTCTTTCTCTCTCTCTCTCAATCTTCCTTCGGCATCATTGCGTTTTGTTCGAAATTGTCTCGTATTTGACAGTTGACAGTTGGTCGACTTTTGAGCATTAAAGTTATGAGCATAAACATGACATTTGCTTTGGGCCCCCCTCTCGAGAGCCCAGCTCTCATCCTTTTGACTATTTATTCTATTTTAGTATCTCTTCACTTTTATTTTTGCCAACTCACGGGCATGTTCGCAATATCTGGAATTGGCCGCCCCTGTGGGCGTTTGTTTTGGACCCGAGCTCTTCAGCTATTTGTGGTTTTTGGAGTTGAGAGCTGGGTGTTGGCTGGAAATCAACGGATCTAACGGGATTAATGTGCTCTTATTGTAATACAATTGCTGCTTTTCGTATTTTAATAAAATGATACTATGGAAGTACTTAATAATACTAAATTTGTAAATTTTTGGAATATAGGAACATATAATCATAAAACATTATAAACAAAATAATACAAAATATACATACATACATACATATCTAATTGTCATAATAAATAACATTCTGTATATTTTACATGAATTATGAGTTATTCTCTTATACTAAAAGCAGATCTTATTTATTCAAAATTGTGTCCCGCCATACCAAAGCATTTGATTTCAGCTTAAGACTCTCTTATATTCTATGATTAGCTTTCTCTTACAATAAATTCCAGCCTTGGAAATGCCGCCCGCTTATGGTTTAATGAAGTTCCAATCTTGTTTACATGTGTACACACATCACATATGCATGTGCGTGTGTGTGTCTGTGTGCGCTCACATGTTTATTGGAAGTAACACTTATGCAAAACGCAAACAAAGCCGCGCGACAAACATTTGTTACACTTTTCCCTTGCGCGTATGTAGTTTTTGTTGTTTCTTTGGCGGCGCAGCAAATCAAATATCGATAAATTTCGCATACAATGCAAAATAAACGCATTAATCAAAATCAAACGGAGCGCAGCAACAATAATAAAACACACGCACACGCACACGCATAAAAAAAGGGCTGCGTCCGTATGCAAAGAGCGGCCGGCTTAAATGGCAGGCGAACAAACGGTACAATCGGCAAATCGCAAATACGTGCGAGTGTGACAAAGACAAAAGCTGATTCGCAAAGTTTATGCGCCAAAGTGTCGAAGCATTTGCCACAGGCCATTGGGCATGCACATCGGTCGGAGTGTGTGGGGCCTAGGTAAATGCAAAACGGGTAAAGGGGGAAATGCAAAAGGCAAAGCCGAAGAGTGAAAGTCAAGTGGCTCTTTGTGACGCGTTCCAGCACACACACACACACACAAGCGCAGCGCGCGAGCGAGAGAGCGAAAGTGTGTGAATTAACAAAAAAAAAAAAGGAAGAGAATAAAAAAAACTGCCGGCAATTTGCATAGCGATCGTCAAACGGCCGGCGGCCCAGTCTGTCCCGGCCCTCGGCTGGATGTTTTTGCTTGCGCTCTTTCGGGTTTTTGTGTGTCCCGGCTCGTTAATTAAGCGTTAAATCGTTGAGGACATAAAAAGTAAAGAAACTAAAGAAAGAAACTCAATTGTCGCCTGTGAATAATGTAAATTGATTTTAAGTGGTTTTCTATGTGTGTGCGTGTGTGTATTTATGTTGTTTTTTTTTTTTTTTTTTTCCATGTAAACCGCAGAAAATGTGCGGCTTATGGTAATTTTTCAAGCAGCCCATCATTTGGCAGGCGGCTAAAGACAGGACACGCCCAGTTAGCAAGATGCTCGTTAAATCATATTAATCAACAGATCCTTACGGGCATACATACTGCGGATCGGATGCAATTCGTTTGCCGAACTCCTTTAAAATCCCATTTAATCCTTTTGTGTGGCTATGTAAACAGCAGAAAAAACTCGCCGAAAACAGAGAAACGGGAACGGCAACGGCAACGGGAACGGGAACGGGAACGGGAACGCAAAGAAAGCCAACCCGAAGGGCTGCCCAAAGACGTGGCGAAAAGAAAACCCAATATGCGAAACCCTTTTTTTTGTGCAAAAAATTCCACAAAAAAAAAAGAGTTGAAAAAAATGAGACATTTTATTCTTTTTTTCTTTTTGCGCAGCATTCAATTAATTTACCCTTAGCGCTTTGTTGCTTGGTTGCGCAAAGAATGCATTCGCAAAGAATGGACGTAAAAGCAAACAAAATCGGCAACTTTCATCGCAGAGAAAGAGCCGATAAAGAAATCGTGTGAAATATGCGAATGCAATCGAGGAATTGCCTTAAAACAATCTTTCAACACGCTAAAATGGATCTTTTGCGAATTGGTGGAATTTAAGAGAGAGAGAGAGACGTTAATGGAGAGAGTGTGCAAGTGGAAGTGCTGGAACTTTTGGAAAGTCAAAGTTCCAGCTGTACGAGAGCTTGGAGAGTAAATGAAGTATCACCAAATTAACCCCAAAAGGCGAGAAATGTTTAGCCCTCGATTCATTGCATTAAATGGGATCTTGGTCGCGAAGATCAATGGATAATCGGGACTGGACATTGGTGAGTTTTTCAAAAATCTGCCTTTTTATGCTAGTGTGTAAACTATGCAGATTATGAGAGATATCTAGTTGACGCCGGCAATATAATTGAATTGTATGCTTAGATATCCCTTGGTTTAAGAGAAATTGCTTAGGATCAGTTTTACTTTATACTAATTAGTTAAAAGTTAGTTAAAGTGATATGGTGCGATAGAACAGAAATAAAAACTTGTGGATGAAAAGACGCAAGTTTTGATAATTTGTTTAGATTTTTTAATTTAAGAAAAGGAGATGCTTGTAGATACTTAGAGATTACGCGGATTTAAGTTATGATAAGCACAAAAAAGATGGTGATCATGTGAGATGAGTTAAAGATGGGCCAACAAGTTAATGCGCCTACTTTAAGTCAAACCAAGACCGCAATTGATGGAACTAGCTTTTAGTTGCAAAGTAAATCCGTTGATTTAGTCCGAAACTGAGTAAGTTTTACTTGCAAATGTAGATCGGCCCTTGTGAGTTTTCTGATTAAAAGAGATAATAAACATTGTAGCTGATGGCTCGATTATTGATCACGTCTAACTCTGAATTGATCTTTAAAAGATCATAAGGGTTTAATAAGATCTATCGAGGTGCAAATGAGGTTCGAGTATTAACAGCTGGCTGATTGACTTGCTTGAGCCGTTTTGCAGGACGAGACTGTTAAAGATTGATATATTACTGATCCCCAGAGCTTAGTAATCCACTAAATGCATCAGTCTAGTCCGGCTGATCCGATTGATCTGCACAGACGAAAAAAATGTCTGCGTGATCCAAATCTCTGGATTAGCTGTAGACAAAACTGTCAGCTGACCGTGCTGACAATCCGGGCAAAGGTGATCAACTAGCCCTGAACAGAACTCAACTCATGCGAAAGTGTTTGAGTAGATATTTAACCATATGGCACAGAGACGCAGGACGACTAATGTGCAGGATCAGCACCTACTCAACGTTTGTAACGTTTTTCAAATGCTTCCTGCGGAAGTTGCAACATTTTCAATTAAAGTATCTGTTTTAGTGGTCGCTAAAGAGCCGCAATTAATACACGATATCAGACAGGAGGCAGGAAGTTGTGCAAGTTGTTGTGAGACTGGCTAATTAACATGCCTGCCTGGGCAGCAAGTGTCAAAGCCTGTTGCTGCGGCTAGGCCAGGCCAAAAGCCAGCAGACCCCTAAATGACACTCAAATTGACCAGCGCTAGCGGCAAGGGAAGGTACGAAGCCCGACAGCAACAATGACGATCACTTCCTTGAGGGCAAAAGCAAATTTAATAACTAAGCGATTGCCGATAGAGATCTAGACGTCATTTGGGTGTGCCAAGTGACGCAGGCGACTGACGACGCGCTGTGGGAAAGAATATCAAAGAATAAATACGCCATCTATCCGTAGGGGTTGGGGTTGGGGTTGCCTTAGTAGTAAAGCTTTGAGCAGAGCTTTGGCTTTAACTGAGAGCGAGAATCACTAAGAATCAGAAAAAAGCCCTCAAACTGGAAGGCAGCTTTAAGTTGGATTCGAAAGCGCAAACACAATCAGAGTGGGAGCTCAACAGCTTTAAGATAAGCTTTAAGTGAAAGCGACGAACTGAAGAAAAAGCAAGGCAGTGAAAGGCAGGAAGCTTTGGAACCCGCTTTAAGTGGACCTGACAGCAGAATGTCAAGCAAACTGTCACTGGGAGCAACAGAGTCAAGAAGGAAGGATTGTGCTGGGAACGAAGCTTAAGGATGGAATGGCGAGGGAGTGTGCTCCACTGGAATAGAGCTTTAAGTGGAGAAGAAGAAGAGCTTTAAGTGAAGAGAACAGAGCCAAAGTGCGAGAATAAACAACGTGTGTGGGTTTGTTGCTTCAAAGGACAAAGCACTTAACTGGAGATCTAAGCAAAGCTTTAAGTGGAGGCTGCAATTGAGAGCAATGAAATAACGGGAGAGGAGAGAGATAGAGCTTTAAGAAGTACTTGAAGTTAAGCTTGGGATGCACTAGCGGCATGTCGCTGCAATTAAGAGTAACCGCAATGGGAGGAGGGAGAGAAAAAGTGAGAGAGAGAGAGAGAGTGAGCGCAATTTTGTGTGCGTACTATTCGCCGCGGGGTGCGCTTGCGCAACAACCCCTGGCGCGTTGCCCGGCGCGAGTATAAAACGCTGCCCGCTACCCCGAACCGATTCAGTTTGTCAGCGAACGCCGAGACGAGAGGAGAGTGCACAGAGCTAGCAGAGTTCTGAACAGAGATCAGGAGCAGCCACTCCGACAAATAGCTCTACATATATCCACACACACACACACACACACATAGACACAGAAACCCGATAACCAAACTAGAGACATGCTCAAGTGGACGGCCTCAACGCAACGTTTAAACGAGCTTCCCGCGCCGGAGTTGCGTGCGGCGCGACGTCAGCGTCGACAGCGACGCGCGACCATTGCCAACAAGGAGAATGTGCCCAGTGTGGGCTACACATCGACGCCCATGCCGCTGGCACGGCTGCGCAATAGTCCGCTGGTGTTGGCGCCGCTCACCGATATACGCAACGTGACGCCGGAGTCGTCGCCGTCGCAGGCGGCGGGTCGTCGCGTGGTGCAGAGCGTGCGACACTATGCAGCCACGTTGCCGCGCTACGAGGAGGAGTATTCGCCCAGCGCCGGCGCTTTGCCCAACGGTCAGCACTTGGCGCTGCGCGGCCTGCTGCCGCTGGATCCGTTTCTGGAGCAGCCGCGCTATATGGCGGCCACGCAGCAGCTGCGCCAGCGCAGGCTGGAGGCGGACTTTGTGGCCACCATGGAGCTGCCCGGGGAGCAGGCGCCTCAAGCAACTCAGCCAGCCGCAACGCCAACCGCATCGCAGCCAGCGCTGCGGCCCGTCACACCGCAGCCATCGACGCACATGGGCGATCAGACGCTGGACAAGCTCATCGATGCCATACTCGATTCGGCCTGCAAGGCGGACGCCGGCAGCAAGAAGAAGCCGCGCAAGTCCTTCAATCTGCGCCGGCGCACGCTCGTCAAGCAGCAGCTGGAGACGCAGTGCGTGGCCATGTTGTCGCCATCGTATGCGCCCGGCGATGATCCGGCCAGCGATCTGAGCTTCACGCTGCTGCCGCTGCCGATGCCGCTGCCCGCCACGCCCGAACCGGCCTCGCCGCTGTCCCAGCTGCCGCACAGTGTGCTCCTGCAGCTGCCCACCCCGCAGCCGCGTGCCCCCACAGCGGTAAATCCATCCGATACCTTTTGCCTGGCCACGCCCGTGCGTCCACTGAAACGGAATCGTGGCCGGCAGACGCAGCCAGCGCCAGCAGTTGGGGGCGTGGAGACGCCACCGAAGCGCTACAAGGTCGACGCGCGCAACTACTTCGAGGTGGGCCTCGCGCTGCCCTCCATCTACGTCTAGCGAGAGTGAGAGGAGGTGAGAGGAGGTGAGAGGAGGTGAGAGGAGGTGAGAGTGAGAGTGAAAGTGAGAGACGAGGCGAGAGCTAGCCAACGCTGACAAACGGGGGAAAACGCTTAACTATGACGCTTATTTAGTTCTTAAGTTCTAGTTAATTAATTTTTTTTTTAATGTACATAAATTAGAAATTAAGTTCTTTTTTTTACACTGCTGTTATGTAGTTTTTGTAAAAAAAACCTTTTTTTTATATTTATTTATTTATGCTTAAGTAAACACAATTTTTTTGAAAACCTTTTTTTTTTATTAAATAATTAATAAAATGCTGTATTAAATCCAAAATTTGAATTTTTTCCTTTAAAACTTAAACTAAAAGTGAGGTTATGTCTTCACTTGAAAGCTTTTTCAAAAGCAAAATTTCTCTTATAGTTACAATTTTGCTTTTAAGAGAACCTAATAGGAACTCTTGACTAAAGTAAGATATAAGTTGACGTTCCTGCTAACGAAATAATAAATTCCAGAAACTAGAAGAGTTTTCTTTTTTTGCGGAAATTTTGATTGCTATTCAGAATTGAAAATAAAAACCAAATTCTCATTCATTGAAATTAGGTTTTGTGCAAATGCAAAAGGAGGCATTTTCGACCTTATAAAGTTAATATATATATATTCTTGATTCAGTCGACGAGCTGAGTCGATATAGTCATGTCCGTCCGTCCGTCCGCCTGTTCGTCCTTTCGCCTGTATGCTAAGCTAGAGCCTTGCACTTTGGTGCATCGCATTTTGATGCCATATTTAAATCCTGAACATTTCATAAAAATTGGACTACTATTATATTATTATAATATTTCCAAGGATGGAAGAGTCACAGCCCGTTCAGTGTATCTCCTGGTGGGACACTCCCAGCTAGAGTTGTCTTCTAAAAGTTTATATATCTAGAATTTCGAGTATTTTTTTAAAAAAGTATCATTTGCCGACTCGGCGTTTAAATTTGTATGCAAATAAGTATGCTAAGGTTAAGCACATAAAGCAACAGTAATTACATGCGTTGAGAAAGTTTATTCCAGGACAGAGAGAGTATATTCAATGTCTTATATTTGGTCTTTTTCGATTGATTGAAGTGCAAAAGAGTGAAGTTGCAGCTGAACTGAGCGCTACTTGACCTCGCGACTAAGAGAAGCGGCTTAAAGCTCAGCTTTCAGCAAGCGCAGCTTAGACAACAGACAGCAGAGAGCTTTCTCTTCAACAGCGAACTTAGCTCAAGTCTGCTCTCTGCTGTGGTCTGCGCTCGCCAGCTTTCATCCTTGCATTCGCTTGGCTAAATGAAGCCCAACATGCAAATTGAGCCGACCTGAGCGCAAGTTCGGCTCTCATTAGCTGTACTCTGCTTATGCGCAGGCTCAGCTTCCAAGTGCGCTAAGCTGCAAGCTCTTTCCCACTTGTGTTGCTTTTGCTTCAAGAGAGTAAAAGCTGCGCTCCTATTGGTTGACATGTTAGTTGAGCTCAAATTGCTGTTGTTGTTGTTTCAGCTGTCGATATGAATGCTATACTATTGCGGTAAATGCTGTTGTTTTTGTTGCTGCTGTTGCTGTTGCTTGACCAAGTGATTTGCTTTGCTTGTGCTGCCCAAAACAGCAGCAGGTAGTCCAAAAGGGAACAATGAGGGACGCACAGCAGCACGCCCCCATTGCGTCGGCAACAACAGCTGCATCTGAAATGATCTCTCTCTCTCTCTCTCTCTGACCCTTGCATGTGGCTCGCTCGCGCGCTCTCTCCCGCTTATCTGCTTTGGCTTAGCTCGTGCGACAGCCGACATTTGACATGACACTTGTTAACACTTTGACGCCCTCGGAGCGTGCGGCCTGTTTCGCACTGTAATTCGTTTTGAGTGCGGCTCGAGCCGAGAGGGTACCAGTTGCTGCTGCCTTTGTTGTTGTTATTATTATTGCCGTTGTTGTTGTTGTTGTTGGGCTTCTGTGAAAAACCCGCAGAGACCCGCTTAATCCGCAGCAACGCACAGGTTGCAAGCCGACTGACGCTGCTGCTGCTGCTGCCTCTTCCCCGGCCGCCGCATCTTTCCCTGCCGCTGCCGCTGCCTCTGCCTCTGCCCTTGCCCGGTCGACCTGTCATCGGCTCTGGCATTCTTGTGGGCTTGGCTCTAATTTGTAGGCCATTTAGCCGTTGAGCGGACGCGCGTTAATTGAATTATTTTTATTATATTTGGCTCTAGACATTTCCCGGTAACAGTTCCTCTTCCTCTGCCTTCTCTGCCCTTGCAGGTTGCACTTGCTGCGCTCCGTTCAGCTTATCGCCAGCTGTGCTCACCCGCATCGTTAAACTAATTTTCTAATGTCGCTAACAGTCACACCCACACACACACACACACACACGCACACGCACACGCACACTCAGCCATATACACTAACCCTTTTAAAGAGGAAAATTTAAATTTTCCTTAGCCGTGACAACAGTCGTCGCATTTCCGGCTCGCGTTTTCTTCATTTTCATTCTTAAGTTTTTACCTGTCGCTTGTCTAATCGATAAAATTTTTTATTAATTGCTTGTCAATGTGATAAATAACATATGTGTCTGTGTGGGATGGGGGTGCCAGCTCTAAGGGCGGGGGCTGCAGGGGAGCTGGTCACAGCTGACAGAGCGTTAAAGTGGTTCCTGTTAACTGTCTAAAGAATAAAATGGTATCGTATGCATTCAAATCGATGATATTTTTAGCATTAAATTAATTAAAAAAATTTATTTCTTACCTTAAGCCCGTTTTAAAGGGCTTCTTCTTCTTGAAATTGTTTTGTGCATTGGACGAATTCATTTAGTTTCTAATATTTTATTAAAAATCAAATATGTTAAGCTTTATTGTAAATATTGAATTTATTTTACAATTTTAAAGTAAAAAAAAATTGCATTTATCTGAACTTGGTTTAGGGTGCTTTTTATGGAATTAGCGCTCAATGAAAATTCTTTCCATTTACCTAGAACATTCTTGATCTCTGATAGGTTAGAAATAATTTTCAGAAAAATCCTTTAACATACTTTTAAGAGTATTGTTAAAGCAAATATATATTTCTACTATTCCTAAACAAAAATGTGCTTGTTGTAGAGCTTTAATTTGCTTACTTCTTAAATGATCAGAGCCAGGACTCTGATCCCTAGAGAGAGTCGCAGATGCACAGAACGAATCTTCTTAAGAATCCATCCCTGCCTTCTTCTTAAGATCTCTTCCTCCTTCCATCTGTTCCTCCTTCCATCTCTTCCGACAATAAAACTACAAAGCATAAGTCACATGGTTGCTGACAACAAAACGTTTGCGAATGTAACACAAAAAGAGAATAGACATAATTAAAGGCTCTCTCGAGAGCGAAAAAGCGCGAGAGCAAGAGCTTTGATGCCGTGTGCAAATCTTGTGCCCAGAGTTCGAAACACATGGTTGCTGACAACAAAACGTTTGCGAATGTAACACAAAAAGAGAATAGACATAATTAAAGGCTCTCTCGAGAGCGAAAAAGCGCGAGAGCAAGAGCTTTGATGCCGTGTGCAAATCTTGTGCCCAGAGTTCGAAACGCGCTTTGTACACTGCCTTGGAAAGCTGTTTGATTGCAGTGCGGAATATGCAAATGATTGACAAGAAAGAGAAATAATGAAATAAATCGGAAACGAATGCCAAGGTCTTTAAAGGTCTTTGCGACAGGGCAACAACGCGGCCTCATTATGCAGTTAATCAACAGCTGGCCGCAAAGGAAGTGGCTGCCACAGCTCGAGGCGAAGTTGAAAGGCACAAACGCCGTCAGTTTGCCGACTGACTCTCAGTCTTCGTCGCCGTCGCCGTCGCCGTCTCCGTCTCAGTCTCAATCTCAGACTGTCGGCCCGCCAGATGCCAACTCGCGATCTTCGCGCACACCTTTTGATTGACAAACGCGCCGTTGGCAATGCGAACCGCTGCCGTTTACCTTTAGATCTGGGGCTTCCTTTGGCCCAGCCCTTGCCTTCACCTTTTGGCTAATGCCAGCGCGCATTGATCTTGGCATTCACAATTTACTATTTACAATTCACAATTTGCGCTAATTTTGTGGCCGCGGGCGCTGAACTTTCGCTGCAGTTGCTGCTGCGATTGCCAGCTGAGCCAGCTACCCCCCACCCCCCACACACACACACGCACACACGCATACACGCATCGCACGCACACTCTTACACCGAGGTGACATTTGCTGCTCCGCATCCTGTCTGGCCTAAGCCGGCTTAGAGCGCATCCTGGCAACCTGGCCACTGACTGTCAGCAAGGATGTAGCAATAATTGCCAAATGTTATGCAAACAATGCCAAAGATTTCCAAATCCACAGGCTCAGGCGCCGCGTGTGGCAATGTGGCAACAACAGGCAACAAAAAAAAACCATTAATATTCAAATCTCCCCGCAACGTTGCAACCGATAATAAAGAACTGTGCGGCACAGAATTGTCGAAGAGCAAATACCCTTCCATTCATAACAATGAATTATGTTATATGTGCGCCGTCCTCTCAGCATTAGATCTTATATATATATACATATATATATATATATATATATATAAAAATATCTGTGTAAAATTTAATTTAAGGTGTGGATTTCAAGGTAGATTTAAATTTTTCACGGGCGGGAACTGGATGAAAAAGTTATGTCTACAATTTTAAGCATGGAACTTTCAAAGGAAAAGGCCGGGGATATGTAGATGTATGTATGTGTGTATGTAACTGTGTATCTATGAATGTTTGTATGAATGTGTGTGTGAATGTTTGTGTGAATGTTTGTATGTATGTATGTATGTATGTATGTATGTATGTATGTATGTATGTATGTGTGTATGTATGTATGTATGTATGTAACTGTGTATCTATGAATGTTTGTATGAATGTTTGTGTGAATGTTTGTGTGAATTTTTGTATGTATGTATGTATGTATGTATGTATGTATGTGTGTATGCATGTATGTGTGCATGTATTATGTTTGTATGTATGTATGTAT